AAAAAAAAAAAAAAAGAAAAGAAAAATGATTTGTTATTTCACTTAATAGTCTAGAAAGTTAGCTTAGATTAACTGCTTATGTGAGGGTTTACTAAATTTAGGGCCCTGTGGTCTTATACATTTTCCTCTGTCCTCCATTTATACGTTCATATAACATCTAGGTGAGCAGTGAATTGGTACAGTCTTGGAGTGATATGAAAATCCTTTATATATACTTTTTACTTTATTCAAGCCCATTATTCTGTTTTCCTGTTAACTAGCAAGGTTAATAGAGTAAATGCTATAAAGCAAGTAAATTGACTAGCTGATAAGTAAACTTAATTTTCTTTTTCAGGTAGGATTATTGACTGTGCTTTTACTGTCACTTTTAATCCCAAATATGATACGTTATTAAAAGCTGTAAAGGATGCTACCAATACTGGAATAAAGGTATGTAAACTGTAAGCACCCTTTATTTAACTTATTTTGAGTACTTTTTAGCATGTTTTACATCTTTGGGTAATTACCCAAGGTGAATAAAGCTGGTCTGTTGTCTTTAGAATCTTTTTTATTTTTAAATTTTTTATTGAGGTAAAATGTACATCAATAACTTAAGCATCTTCACCTTTTCTTTCTTTCTTTTTTTTTTTGAGACAGAGTCTCAAGCTGTCACCCTCGGTAGTGTGCTGTGGTGTCACAGCTCACAACAACTTCAAACTCTTGGGATTAAGTGATTTTCTTGCCTCAGCCTCCTACATTGCTGGGACTACAGGCGCCTGCCACAATACTCAACTATTTTTTCGTTGTAGTTGTTGTTGTTTGGCAGGCCTGGGCTGGATTCAAAACCACCAGCTCTGGTATATGTGGCTGGTGCCCTAGTCCTTAGCTGCAGGCGCTGAATCCTATTATTGATTTCTAACTACCACCACCCTGCCATTGTGAGTGAAGACACTTTGTATGATATGCCTTTTTTTTGAGACAGTTTCACTCTGTCACCCTGGTTGGGTAGAGTGCCATGGCACTGTACCTCCCAGCAACCTTAAATTCTTGGGCTCAAGTGATTCACTTGCCTCAACCTCCTAAGTAGCTGGGACTACAGGTGCCTATCACAATGTCTGGCTAGTTTTTCTATTGTTTTTTTTCTCTTGTAGAGACAGAGTCTCACTTTATCGCCCTTGGTAGAGTGCCATGGCGTCACAGTTCATAGCAACCTCCAACTCCTAGGCTTAGGTGATTCTCTTGCCTCAGCCTCCCAAGTAGTTGGGACTACAAGTGCCTGCCACAATTTTTGTTGTTGCAGTTTGGCTGGGGCCGGCTTTGAACCCACCACCCTTGATATATGGGGGCCTGCACCCTACCCACTGAACCACAGTGCCACCCTAGTGTTTCTGTTTTTAGTGAGAGCTCACTCTTGCTTAGGCTGGCCTCAAACTCCTGAGCTTAAGCGATTTATCTGCTTTGGCCTCCCTGAATGCTAGGATTACAGGTATGAACCACTGCACTTATTTGCTACCTATCTTTTAAAATCTATTTGAAACTTAATTTGTGGCCTAATAGATATCTATCTTGGGGAATGTCCCATGGGCAAGAAGAATGTATATCCTATGTTATTAGGTAGAGTGTTCTGTATGCATCTGTTAGATCTAGTTGATTTATTGTTTAAGTCCTCTGTTTCCTTCTGTCTGGTGATTCTGTTCATTATTTATAGAGTGTGGTATCGAAGTCTCCAACAATTATTGTACAACTGACTGTTTTTCCTTTTAGTTCTGTTAGGTTTTGGCTTTTCGTATTTAGATGATAGGTTTTTACCTGTATTAATGCTTATGATTTTTATATCTTCTTGCTGTGTTAAACCTTTTATTAATAATATATAACATTCTCTTTTTCTTCTATACTCTTTTTGGATTTGAAGTTTATTTTGTTTCATATTAACATAACCACTTGGCTGTCTTGGTTACTATTTGCTTAGAATATCTTTTTCTATCCATTTATTCTCAACCTATTTATGTCTGTGGATGTGAGGTCTCTTGAATACAACATATAGTAGGATCATGGTTTTTTATCCATTCTGGTAATTCATTTGATTAGAGAGTTTAATCTATTTACATCGAAACTCATTACTGAAAACGAAGGACTGATGTCATTTTGCTATTTGTTTTCTACATGCCTTAAAAGTTTTTGTCCCTTGTTTCTTGGATTATTATCTTTAGTGTTTAGTTGACTTCTTTTTTTTTTTTGAGACAGAGTCTCACTTTGTCACCCTGGGTAGAGTGCTGTGGTGTCATAGCTCACAACAACCTCAAACTCTTGGGCTTAAGTGATTCTCTTGCCTCAGCCTCCCGAGTAGCTAGGACTACAGGCACCTGCCACAATGCCCGGCTAGTTTTTAGAGATGGTATCTCCCTCTTGCTTAGGCAATCCACCTGCCTCAGTCTGCCAAGTGCTGGGATTATAGATGTGAGCCACTTCACCCTGCTTTAGTTGAATTTTTAAAGTGAAGCGTTTATAGTTCCTTTCTATAAACAAAAACTCTGGTCCTTTAGAGCTCTTTCCCCACCCTTTTTAGTTTCTTTTTTTTTTTTTTTTTTTTTTTTTGAGACAGTCTCACTTTGTCACCCTTGGTAGAGTGCCATGGTCTTATAGCTCACAGAAGCCTCAAACTCTTGAGCTCAAGTGATCCTCTTGCCTCAGCCTCCCAGGTAGCTGGGACTACAGATGCCTGCCACAATGCCTGGCGATTTTAGAGAAGGAGTCTCTCTAGTTCAGGCTGGTCTTGAACTTGTGAGCTCAAGGTGTCTACCTGCCTTAGCCTCCCACAGTGCTAGGATTACAGGTATGAACCACTGTGCCTGGCCTTACCAGCTAGTTTCTTAAGTCATGTAGAAAACACAGTTATAAACTGTGGTTACAATAATACTAGTTGCTATAAGTTAATTTTCCTTTATTGAGATATTTATTTTGCACGACTTTGACTTACTATCTAATGTCCTTTCATTTCACTTTGTAGGACTCCCTTAAGTATTTCTTGCAAGACATTTGTAGAAGTAATGAACTCTCTCCCAAGCTTTTGTTTATCTGAGAATATCTTAATAACTCCCTTGCTTTTGAAGAACAGTTTTCCCAAATACAGGATTTGGGGGCAACAATTTTTTTCCTTTTAGCTAGCACTTTCAGTATGTCACCCTATTGCCTTTTGGCCTCCAAAGTTTCTGATGACAAATTTGTTTTATTTTTATTTATTTATTTATTTGAGACAGAGTCTTAGTATGTTGCCCTCGGTAGAGTGCTGTAGTATCACAGCTCACAGCAACTTCAGACTCTTAAGTGATTCAAACTCTTCAAACTCTTGGGCTTAAGCGATTCTCTTGACTTAGCCTCCCGAGTAGCTAGGACTACAGGCGCCTGCCACAACACCTGGCTATTTTTTTTATGGCAGTTGTTTAGCTGACTTCAGGCTCGGTTTGAACCTGCCATCCTTGGTGTATGTGACTGGCGCAGTAACCACTGTGCTACGGGTGCTGAGCTGACAAATCTTTTTTAATATAGCTGAGGATCGGGGCCGGGCTTGGTGGCTCATGCCTATAATCCTAGCACTCTGGGAGGCCAAGGTGGGTGGATTTTCTGAGCTCAAAGTTTCGAGACCAGCCTGAGCCAGAGAGAAAGCTCGTTTATAAAAATAGCTGGGCGTTGTGGCAGATACCTATAGTTCCAGCTACTTAGGAAGCTGAGGCAAGAGAATCACTTAAGCCCAAGAGTTTAAGGTTGCTGGGAGCTATGATGCTACAGCACTCTACCAAGGGCAACAAAGTGAGACTGTTTCAAATAAAAAAAACAACATACATACATATATATATATGTATATATGTAGCTAAGGATCCCATGTATGTGATCTTGTTGCTTTCAAGATTCTCTTTTAGAAAGTATAATTATAATAGGTCTTGGTATGCATAGCCTCTTTATCTTTGAGTAAAAGATGTGGGTTTTTAAATTTCATTTTACTTGGAGTTTTTTGAACTTCTTGGATGTTTGTTTATTTATTTATTTATTTATTTAAGAGAAGTAAGCCTTCATTTCCTTGTTCTGAAAATAAAGCTGGCTGAGTTTGCTCTTTTTGGTGAATAGTCAAAGAGACCAAATCCCATATCCTTGTCAGACTCCTCTAACTCTTCTTGGCTTCAACCTTGGCTGGGGCTGCAGCAGTAGCAGGAGTAGCAATGGTGGTGGCAGCCATAGGGGCAGCAACTACAAAGGCACATGTATCAGCCAAGAAGGCCTTGACCTTTTCAACTAGTGGGAAGGTGTGATCAGTCTCCATAGACAAAGCCAGGACTCTCTTGTACCCCTTGAGGATAGAATGGGGTACTGATGAAACAGTTGGGTAACCAATCTGCATACAAACATTGGCAACATTGCGGACACCCTCCAGGAAGTGAGAATGCAGAGCGTTTCCTCTGTAATGTCAAACACTTCAGGGTTGTAGATGCTGCCCTTGTCAAAACACTGTTGGATTATCCGCCCTAAGGAGAAGGGGGAGATGTTCAGCTTGTTTAGCAGTATGGCTTTGCTGGCTTCTACTTTGTCTCCAGGCTTTATCAGCTGCCTATCACTCAGGATTTCAGTGGTTTCCCCTGGAGATTTTAGTGGTGATACCTAAAGCCTGGAGGAAGATCTTCTCTGGCTCCAGATCAGTGTTCTGGGCTGGCACAGGGACTTCACGTGAAGCAGTGGCACCAGCAAGAGTGGCAGCTGGCACCATATTGGCCAGCAGCATGTCCCTGATCTCAGTGAGGTCCTCCTTGCTGAGCACAAAGCCCACATTACCCAGGATATGAGGCAGTAGTTTCTCCAGAGCTGAGTTGTTTTCCAGATGCTCTTGGATAGCCTTGTGCATCCTGGTGTTCTTCCCTATCAGTACCACAGTCTTTTCTCGAAGGGACATGCAGGTCAGCTTCATCTGCTTGGAACGCATGATGTCTGCTCCCACAATGAAGTACTTTGGATAATCATCTAAAAGTTGGATGATCTTAAGGAAGTAGTTGGACTTCCATGTCACCCTGCCTTCCCTGGGTGCCACAGTGGTGCTTCAGGGATTGCCACACAGGTTTTAAAGATGGTGTTACTCACATGAGGACGCCTGGCAAAAAAGGAGCTCTTAGGTGTTCACATTCATAATTTGTGAAGTTTCGGCCATTATTTCTTCAAATGTTCTCTCTACCCCTTCCCCTTTCTTCTCCTTCTGAGATTCCCGTAATGTATATATTGATCTACTTAATATACAGATCTCTGGGGCTCTATTTACTTCTCTTCAATCTTTTTTTTCCCCAATTTTTTTGTTCTTCAGACTTGATAATTTTCCTTGTCCTGTCTTCAAATTTATTGATTTTTTTTCCTTCTGTTTGCTCAAATACTTTGAATTCGTCTAATGAATTTTTTATTTTAGCTAATGTACTTTTAAGCTCTAGAATTTGTAGTTTCTTTTAGGCTTTCCATGTCTTGATATTTTCATTTTGTTTACAATTCTTTTTTTTTCTTTAAGAGAATTGTTTGGGAGTCTGTCTAGATCTGCCATCAGGTCTTTTGCATAGAGTTTTGTTTTTCCCCCCCTCTCCTTTGAATGGATGTTCTTTCCTATGTTTTTTTTACATGCCTTGTGATTCTTTTTGTGTAATATTACATATTTGCATGTAATGTGGTAACTCTGGAAATCACATTCTTCTTCTTCCCAAGGGTTTGCTAGCGTTTTGTTTGTTTTGTTTTGTTTTGATTCTTGTAGGCTGTCTTTGCCTGTTAAGAGTCCACCTGAGGTGTAAACTTAAGGTGTCCTCAGGTCTTTTCTGAGCCTACACCTTTCCCTGGGCATGTGTGCTCACTTTTGAATTTCTCTCACATACGCAGCTGCTTTTGAATGTCGTAGTCTTTAATGTCTGGCTCCCGAAAGGGGGAAAAGAAGAAAATGAAATGAGAGAAGGAAAGTTGCTGGCCTTTTGAATTTCCTTGAAGTCACTTTAGCCAGAGGGGTAGTGAGTGCCAGGGATTTGCAAGTATAAAGGGAGGTGCAACTATGGCTACCCACCTCTTGGTCTGCTTGTCTGTGATTAGAAGCAGCAATCAGGGGTAAGAGCATAGATTCCCAGTAGCAAGGGAATCTTTCTTGTTCACCTGGCTCCCCCAGGTTGTGTGCAGGTTGCTTCGTGAACATGTGCCAGCCATCGAGCTTACGGTGCAGAGTGAAGTAGCACTGCTACTATATTTTTTTTCTTTTTTTTTTGAGACAGAGCCTCAAGCTGTCCCCCTGGGTAGAGTGCCATGGCTTCACAGCTCACAGCAACCTCCAACTCCTGGGCTCAAGCAAGTC